CCCCAAAACCCCAAAACCCCAAAACCCCTTGATGCAAGTTAATTTTGAGATGTAATATTTAAATTTGAAAAATATAAATTTAGGATAATATGTCAGTGAGAAATTCTAAGGCACTTATCGGTGCTCTATTTTTATAGTACTGTGCTTACGGTATATTTTACATAATGGATGAAATAAAGGAAATCGCTCCAAAGCAATATAAAGCTTTGCCCTAAAAAGCAGCTCAGCCTCAGTAGTAATAGTAATAGCCGAGAGAGGAAGTAAAAGAAGAATAGAAAAATCCTAAAGCGAAAGGAAATCAAGGACCATAATAAAGAAGTAAATTTGCTCAGCTTATGAGAATGGGAGAGTAAGATCTTACCGAAGAGGAAGTTTAGGAAGTAAAAAAATTTGAAGCTTCTAGACTCCAGTCAATTACCAACGAGGTAGTTGAATACTTCCCAAGAGTCATGCTCTTTCATACTTTAGTTGTCACTTTTTGTGCAATAAGATCACCAACAGACACTGCTGTAATTTTCACTTACTTTACAGTGCTGCTAAGATGCCTAATGGTCTCAGGATGGTATCATAAAAGATAATTCGTATACTTAAGTGCAGGAGCAGGGGAAGCTCTCATCAATGTGATTTTATTCTTTATCACATTAACATACTCTCCATATTGATGAAATAAGTTTGGCTTGACTATATAGTCCTCAAATTTTGTAAATTTAATTATTGTTTGATGGTATAAATTCTAACATTTAAAAACACATTATTGTTTACTTGTTAAAATAATAAGCAATCCTAATCTCACTGATTGTGAAAGCGAAAATGTTATGTGAACATTAATTAGGCATATATGTTTGATCTTTTATTAATTTACAGCTAAATCAAACAAATTATATCTGACTTCTGAATGCATCTCTTATCTCCATTGGTTTTCTTCCTTTAGAGAAGCACTATACAAACTCATTATTAATTTATGGTAAATTACCTATGGAACAACCTCTTGTTCTTTCTTTGCCTTATTGAGACTACTTTACTACTTTATTTCCATTGTCTTATCCCAAAACTTCTTTGTCCCTTTCTCATAAGGTCTATCTTATTCGGCTTTAGGCTGGTTTTAATATGTAATATTGGTGTATGTAACTGGATTTATTTGTACCATAGATCTATCATAAGTCTTTGCTGACCTCAATCTCTCCCTGGGAACAATGCCCATATCTTCTCTTTCAACAGAGGTTGCAAGTCCTCTTGAAATTTAAGGGTTAATGTTTTCTTTATTAGAATTATGGCTGTTCCTTGCTGTGACACATGTGGTACTTCCAGGAAGGCAATCTATCGAACTTCTGAAGTCTCTCATATTCTTTATAACTTAGCTGCTATTTTTAGAACAATCTCCCCCTAGCGCCTTATCTCTTAGAACAGTGTTCTACTGGCTTCCAATTATTAATGATGATTGAGTCTCAATATTTGACTTGGTGGTCTTATTTGGATTTTTAGGAGGTAGTTTATTGTTTTGTTCTGAAATTTTAAAAGTGCTGTAGTAATTCCTTTCATTTCTCTATCTAGAGCATCCTGTCACTTTATTATTTTAGAGATTTATATCTACTTCTTATCTTTGTGGATCTAATGTACGACAGGCATTGACTCTTTCTGACTCTCTTCTGCTAGAAAGAGCATAATCACCTCTTTTCATTGTTTGGCTAAGTTGATTATTTTAAGTTTTCTCAATAAGATTTTCCCAAGCTCCGCCTGATGGACTATTACACTAGTTTGAAATAAATGAACCTCTTGCTGAATTAAAGGCTTAGAGAGGAGGTTTTTTAGGCATAAACATTTCAAGGTTGGAACCATGAGTTCTTTCGAATCTGTTGATTAATTCAGAATCTGCTTTAGCTTAGTTTACATTCTGATGTTGAAGTTCTCTTACTTTACTCCCCATTGTCACCTCTGATTAATGATATGTATTCGTTGAATATCTGTTACTTTAACTATTATTTCTAGAGTGCCCACTTTGAGCAGTCGTCATATTTGTGCTTATATTTTGTATCGAAAACCTCTAAGTAGCTATAGCTGTGCTTGCTGGCTTAGGTGGTAAGAAATTTTGTCTATGCGAAAGGTTTTACTATTACCATTAGTTCCTATTTGTGCTCTATCCACTTAGATAATTTCCTCTATAATTATAAAAATTAAATGAAATTACTTACCCTGAATAGGCTTTCGAGTAGGAGTCTGACTAAATTGATCTTTAGGAGCACTACTTTGAGATATTTTAACTATTTGAATAGTAGCTGATATTGTTATTCATATTTTTACTTTTCAATTCAAATATATTCAACGAATTAACATTTTTGCTATAATCTGGGGTTTTGGGGTTTTGGGGTTTTGGGGTTTTGGGG